AGGATAAGATAAAAAAAAAAAAAAGGTGCCTGGTTTGTTTTTTGAATATCTCAAAAGACGTAGAGATGTATTAATATTTCACAAATATAAGTTTCTATTGTGAGTCAGTGGCACAGGGACATTGTTTTATACCCATGGACTGTGAGCTTTCTCAGAGAAGTGAGAGCACTCGTTAAGCTTTGGCTGTTATATCCCAGCTAACATTGCAATTTCAAAGAAATAGTTTTTCTAGCTTACATCCTCTTGGAACATTTTAGGTGGCCCCTAACTTGGGCAATGTTGCAAACTTTATTTGAGTTAGAAATGGGGCTAATTAGTGATTGTAGATGAACAATGCTGTACCATTTTCATTGTATGTTGTATCCTGTACGTGTTTTCCCGTTTTGTTCCTGTTTGTTTATTGTAAAATCAATTAAAAATACAAATAAAAGCTAATGGGAATCTTAAAAGAAAAGGACAGTAATGTTTTCCTCGCTTTGGTATATATTCAGATACAGAGAGCTTTATAAATATTGAAATTCTTTGAGAATCGCCTTAAAATTGGGTTTATTCAGAATATGTTCATCTTATCGCTAGTTAGGATATACCACAGTTGTTAGTGATTAGTGAATGAGCAATTATAGTTTTTTTTTTATTGAAATTATTCGATTTAAAAGATTAAACACAAAAACGAACGCGAGACAAAAGAAAACAACAAAAACGTTGATATACTTGTACTGTGTTCATGATTCAGCTTAATGAGCGCCAGCGCCCCCTAGGGGAATAGCAACTCTTTAAATTACCTTTAAATTTAATTTCGCAAATCGCACAGAATGTCTTACACACAGACGAGACACGATACAAATGTTCATACAAAGTATAGATTAAAATGGCATAAATCAATAACAACATTCTGGCTCATGAAAAGACAAGTCTGTGGCCCCTGGAGTTTGGCCCTGAAGTCACGTGACTGTCTGGAGAAACGGGAAGTTCGTGATTCTCTCAGCTGCTGTAACTTTATGCTTTCAAGAAGACACATTCATATCCAGAAGATAAAAGTCCATCTCTGTCGGTTTCGGCGTTTTATCATCCGGTAAGTTTGCAGATAGTCGATGTTTACACTAGTGTGTTTTTCTGCTCCTTACATTGTTTGATGCATATTCTGTAAATATCAATAAGTTTTCTGCCAGTTTCGCCTCTTTTCAGCATTATCGAAACATTAATCTGAGCACGATGAATACCTTCTGCTTAATGCTTTTCGTGAGGGTTTATAGTGTCAGGGAAGCGAAAATGAAACTTTGAGTTATGCATATGCAAATTAACCTACAGTCAAACGTATATTAGATAACATCATGCGCACGGAGGAATTTTAATAACTTTCTTCATTAAAACAGTCTTATAATGTAGCGGAATCCCTGTAGAAAGAGGAAGTGTAGCCCAGATTTGTATTTTCCTGTATTTCAGCATTCATTCAGTGAGTTGTTCAGGCTCGTTTGGCTTCTGCTGCTTCCAGTATCTAAAGATTTTGGTGGTAGCTATTTTATATCTTGTGCAATTATGTGTCCATCTGCTAGTACTAGTAATTAGCTGTCAAAACCTGCGATGATGCATGTGATCAAAATCACGTGGTCTAGATGTCAGCTCTCAAGTCAAACATGAACCATCAGGTGTTTTTGAAATACAAATAACAGTGCATTTATTTTCTGATGAGTCGTGATTTATTTTTTGACAAGTGTGGCCCAAGTGTAGTAATTGGGTAGTTGACAAACACTAGGGATGCACGATATTGGATTTTTGCCGATATCCGATATGCCGATAATTTTCAACTCATTTTGGCCGATACCGATATATAATTATTTTTAATTTTGGTTAGTTTTAACAAGAACTTATTTGTTAGAATTAAATAAACAATAATAAAGTTATTTTATAATGACAGTACATTGAAGATTTGAAAATAACTATAAATAATATGTATATTGATCACTGCATTTTTTTTTCCAGAAAGATGCAGTGGTAACCTTAACATTTTATTTTATGATTTAACATTTGTAGATGGTCTTAAGCAAAAGAGTTCTGAAGAGTAAAAATTCTGAAAATCTTTTAGAGCTCATAATTTGTTTAAAAAATCCAACATATTACACATGAATGAATAAATCAGTAGGCCTATATATAAAATTATTTAATTTAAGTGTCGTTTGTGTTTTTTTTGTTCATGTAAGCTATAGCTTCTGACCTTTAAATCAAAACATACTCATGATTTTATGGCATCAATTACTGCTTTATTTAATCAGAAGCACAGTCTAAATATTATTTGTGTATTTTGCTTTCATTTTGTTATAAGTAGGCCAACAGCGCCCCCTACGGAATTAAAACTCCTTACTGAGCGGGCTTTAGGACCCGGGGGAGGCTGCCGCTGCGCGTGCTATTACTGTTCACACACCGAACGAGTCATTCTGTACCTGCATTCTCAGTTTAAATGCAGCGATCCAAAACAGTGAATATAATCATAATTCAGGCAAAACTTTGCTTCAAGAATGAGCCACACTGCTGACGTGATCTAATCACTAGCACACCCACACATGTGAGTTAATGTATTCCTCTTATAGGCAAGACTTACCGGCATAATTTTTCATATCGGGCCGATGCCGATATTTACATTTAAAGCCATTATCGGCCGATTCCGATATTGGTCCGATAATATCGTGCATCCCTAACAAACACCACCTTTTTACAGTCAACATCAAGATTATAGCTGGAAAATATAAAGGACAGTTCATAATTTACGTGTTGTAACAGGTTAGCTTTTCTTTCAAGTTTTCACGATTTCCCAGTAACCTCTTTTATGTCTTTTATGTTTAATTAAATGGTTCTGCGATGTCATGGATTCATTTATTAAAAGCTTAGATATTCCATAAAATCAGATTAACTACATGCCTAATAATTATACATAAATTATATATTGTTTAAAATGTATCGTTAATATATTAAATGCATGAAAGGTTCAAAGACGAAAAAGGGTTTAAGCATAAACACAATAAGTGTAATACTGCTTTAAATTGTTGTTGTTTTTCCTCAAAAAATTAAAAAAGTTTTCTGTTTAATTTAATTGCAATTTTGTTTTTGTTTTTCCGAGCAAAAAATAAATATCATAAAAATTTTTCCCTGATTTACAGAAGAAACCCACTAAAATGTAATTCAGTGTAACAATCTTGTCAGGCATATTTACAACAAAAATAATTTTATGACATATTAAAAGACTAATTTAACTTTCACACCCCAAATACTAATTAGTTGTAATTTTACATTTTTAAAATGTGCCACTATCCTAGCTTTTGCCCATTTGTCAGTAAGAATTTTTACTCATTTAAAACACAATAAAATTTAATATGCTCCCTTATTCTTTTATATATTGTAATATGTACATGTCAGAATAAGCATGTTGTTTGAATTTTACATAAATATTGTGTTACACTGAATGACAATGTAACATAATTTCAACCAAATTTTAACATTTTATTCTCCAAAAACTTAAGCTTAAAAGTAGACATTTTACTTGCATTTAATGTGCTTTCTATGGACATAAAATCACTTTTGTACATTTCTTTTGATGCGGACATCTTAACGTCTTTGACCCGAAAATAAATTGTTAAAAATATTGATATAGTTTGACATTGCCCATGTAACCCCGTGATTTTACAGTCACAGGTGATATTATGAAACCTAAAAAAGCCCTCAGAGAGGAACACGCACTCATGCTCACATGCATACTGACTCAAAGCAGAAGAGGAAGTGCTATATCTGTTCACACAAGAATTGTCCAAGTGTGTCCACATTTCAGAGCCCATTCTTGCTGTTTGATTGTGTGTGTTTCAGGTCATGGGCTCTCTGTTCCGCAGTGAAGAGGTCTGTCTGGTTCAGATCTTCCTCCAGTCGGGATCGGCTTACAACTGTGTCAGTGAACTGGGAGAGCTGGGAATAGTGGAGTTCAGAGATGTGAGAGAATTAATACTTGAGAAACCCTTTTTTTGTTGTTTACGTGTGTTATGTAAGTGTCTTTACCTTACATTGACTTGCCGATGGCACAAAGAAGATAATGACGCGTCTTTGTTTGAAATCCTAATCTCAGCTGAATCCAAATGTGAACGCGTTCCAGAGGAAGTTCGTGAACGAGGTGAGGAGATGTGAGGAACTGGAGAAAACCTTTGGTGAGTCAGTCTGTCACTCCTCAACTCCCATGATCCTGCATTATTTCACACATGTTCATCAGTACACACATTATTCCAAAGAGAACCGTGTTTGTCTTTGGAAAACATTCATTTAAATGTAACCGCTTCCTGCTTCAGAGCAGTTTGTTATCAGCTGATGGCATTTAGGCCATGCACGACTTTAAAATGTTAAACAATAGCCGAATATCTGTGTAGTTTGCTGCAATCAAAGCAATCTAAAAATTGTATAAGTAGGTAATGCAGTAATTTACTGCTGATTAATGTTAAATCACAACAATAATAGCAAAAATTATAGATTTGGGGAAGAAGCCTTCTTATGTCAAGATTAGTGCTGCGACATTTAAAAAAATAAATAAAATATATATATATATATATAATTGCTTTAAATTATAATATTTCACAATATTACTGTTTTTACTGTATTTCTGAGCAAATAAATGCAGCCTTGGTGAGAATAAGAGGCTTATTATGATGAAAATGTGAAAAAAAATGAAAATTTGCTGTTAATTTACTCACAAGTTATAGTTTTTTTTTTCTTCAGTAGAACAGTAGAGTAGATTTTTTTCTAGAACTGTGGTCCTTGGTCATAAAATGCAAGTCAGCAGCTACAGGTTTTTGAGAATAAAAAAGCATTTCACTGAACACCAAATTAATGCACATGGCTCCTGACAATATAGTGAGGTTTTATGAAGTGAAACGATCGGTCTGTGCAGGAAACTGAACACTATTTATAGCATAATTACTCTTATCCACCTTTTTCTTGTCGTAAAAATGGGCGCGGCCATTTGTAAATTCTATGGGTCTGGCTTCTGGTCTCATCTGCATCCACTCCGTCCAGCTATTTTTAGCTGAACAAAACAGTTTGTTTTGCTGCTTGATATTGAAAATTGGTGTGTCTTATCATATTATTTGAATGTATTATCTTAATTATGAACACACTGGTTTACAGTTTACTGCACGTTGTTATTCTCCTCGTTATTTAGCTATAGTCTAATTTTTTGAATGTATTATCTTAATTATGAACACACTGGTTTACAGTTTACTGCACGTTGTTATTCTCCTCGTTATTTAGCTATAGCGGCTAATGAACCGGAAGTCTCACCCATAGGCTTACTTCCGCGTTGAAGAAAAAGGTGGATAAAATGGATAGTTCCTGTCCTTGATTCTGATTGGCTGAGCCGTGTTCAAAGCTGTTGTAAATTACTCTACAAGCACACACCTTTGTTTACTTCTGTGTGTTGCTCTGCAACCACTTTGTTGGAACCACAACTGTTCTTGAGGAACTTCATTGTTTGGTGGAAGAATACTGTTTTTATTTATATCATCACACTTTATTTGCTCTGTTTTATGCTCTGTAACCGTTTTATAAAAGCAATAAGCCCGGGAAGCTGTGGTTTACAGTGAATTTATAACAGTTAAGGGGGTTTTAGGAACTCCGCTTCGCGTCATGCCTAACATCGCCCCTTAGCTGTTATAAATTCACTGTAAACCACAGCTTCACGGGGCTTATTGCTTTAGTAATCTGGAGCCTCAGGCAATGGGGAAATCCTGGTTCTTTTGGACAGTTTGTTTACATAATCATGCTATGACATCACGCATACACAATCACATTATTAAAGCACCCGTTAATGATGTGACACATGGATGTTTTACATGTCTAAAGCATATAAACTTGTCTTCAATAGCTCACCTTTTTACATAAACAATGCCATCTTATGTTGACTCAAAGGTTTTTAAACAGTCGCCTTCTTGGTTCCAGTGTTTTTGGACCAGGAGATTGTCCGCAGTCTCTCTCAGAAACTGCAGCCCCCCATCCCGACCCCTCCGGCCCCTCAGCCCAGAGAACTCCTCACCATTGAGGAGGAGAGTGAGCGCTTGGCCCGAGAGCTCAGGGAGGTTTGTCACTTTGTGTGTTGTTTCCATGCAAATGTGTTTTATGCCTGCTTGATGTTAAAAAAAACATGAGATCAAAACTGATCCTATTTGCTTTCTTGTTCTTAATTTGCTTTCTTACTTTCTTCTTCTAACTACACGCGATGCAACAAGATTCCAGCGACAAACAATGTGTCTGTCCACACACCAGACGCAACAGAATCAATCAAATATCACAGCCAATCAGAAGCGTGTGTGGGCGGGCTCTCTCTGGAAGCGAACTGCACTTGCTACAAAATGTTTAAGTTTATAATCTAATTCATAACCTTTTTAACATTATTAAACGTACATACTGAGTGACTGATAGCATCTTTGTTATGCAATACGCTTGTTTGCTTTGATTTGTTTTCGAGATCTGAGGTAAGCTATATGTCACGTAATATGATATTCAAACTCGGACTAGACACTTTTAACATTGAATAAAGCACATAATAAGTACCTGAGATATTCCTGAGTCATAGTTTGTATGTTGCAGAAATGGAAACCGTTTCTAAAATAGAAATCTTGCGTGTCGCTGTCACGGCTGGTTAGGACAAAAACTCAGATTAACATGGAGAAGATACCTTTTATCGCGTGTCGCGATTAGTTAGGACACTGTGTTAAAGGGATAGTTCATCCAAAAATTGAAAATCTTGTTATTTGTGACCCTGGACTACAAAACCAGTCATAAGTGTCAATTTTTCAAAATTGAGATTTATACATCATCTGAAAGCTGAATAAATAAGCTTTGCATTGATGTATGGTTTGTTATAGGATAGGACAATATTTGGCCGAGCTACAACTATTTGTAAATCTGGAATCTGAGGGTGTAAAAAGAATCAAAATATTGAGAAAATCGTCTTTAAATTTGTCCAAATGAGGTTCTTAACAATGCATATTACTAATCAAAAATGAAGTTTTAACATATTTACAGTAGGAAATTTACAAAATATCTTCACGGAACATGATCTTTACTCAATATCCTAATGATTTTTGGCATAAAAGAAAAATCTATCATTTTGACCCATGCAGTGTGTTTTTGGCTATTGCTACAAATATACCCCAGCGACTTAAGACTGCTTTTGTGCTCCAGGGTCACATTTATGTTGCTCCAAACCAGTATAAAGTTCTTTCATCTGCTGAACACAGAAGAACATATTTTGAATAATGTGAGCAGTCAGACAGTTGTTGGTCCCCATTGACTTCCTTAGTATGGTAAAAAAAAAAATAAAATACTGTGGACGTCAGTGGGGACCAGAAACTGTTTGGTTACCAACATTCTTCAAAATAATTAAATTTCTGTTTAATGTAAGAAAGAAACTCATACAGTTTTGGAACAACTTGAGGTTGAGTAAATGATGGCAGAGTTTTTATTTTGGGTGAAAATCCCTTTAACTAAATGTTTTTCAGTGCTTTCCTGTATACCAGTGTCTAGTCACACTTCGATTGTCATTATTTCCCTGTTAATGCATAACATTAGTGTTGTTTCAAATTGTCTCTAATGCAGTAAGTTTGTGATTTTACACATGTGCAGGTGTCCAGGAACAGAGACAGTCTGCGGTCTCAGTATACTCAGCTGTGTCAGTACAGAGGGGTTTTAAAGCAGACTCATTCACTCACAGCCTCACAGGTAGGAACTGCACTTTACTGTCACAATACATCCACTTCCTTCTTTTCCACTTCAGCGTCAGTCAGTCTGGTTCATGTGTGCACGTGTTAATGCGTCATAGGCCCCGCTGGTGTCGTTCGAGCCGGTGGCTCTGGCAGAGAACCGGCAGGACGTCAGGCTGAGCTTTGTGGCCGGCGTGGTTCATCCGTGGAAAGTTCCCGCCTTCGAGAGGCTGCTGTGGCGGGCTTGTCGTGGTTACATCATTGTGGACTTTCATGAGATGGAAGAAAAACTTGAACATCCTGATTCTGTGAGACCTAAATCATTAATAAGTATTATCAGGTTCTTGTATAACCAGATGATGATGTACATGTAAGAACCATTGCAATGTATAAGCAATTTTTTTTTTTATTAGATTGTAGAAACATATACAATCAAACCAAAAATTATTCAGACAGCAGATATAATTTTTGATATTTTTTTACTAGTGGGTGCAGGACACTATAGTTAATTTATGTAAGTGAGGATAGCAAAATAAAGTGAACTGTGACATATTATACCCAAAAATTCTTCATACAGTGGACTACCAGTAAAATTTATAAAAATTAGGGACCAAAGATTATTCAGACACTTTGACCTGACCATGTTTTGCTTAAGTGTTTTTTTCTTTAATTGCTAATGCAACCTTTTTACACCACAGACTGAACAAAATTAAGCATTGCTTGGTAATTGGTTGACCTAAATTGGTATTATCTAATTGTGTTCTTAAATTTAACAGCTGAATTCATTACATACCTTTCTATCAAAGTTATCTGACATTATCAAGATGAATTTGAGAAGTTCTTGTCATATTTTATTACCATTTTCTAAACTGTAGTGAATAAACTGTGATAATGTGAGAAATGCTGAAGGTGTCTGAATAAATTTTGGTTTGACTGTACGTCTGTTTTTGTTGAGTTTTTTTAAAGTTGGTGAGAGATTTTGGTTGTTTTTCCTCAGGGTGAGGAGGTGCAGTGGACCGTGTTTTTAATCTCGTTCTGGGGAGATCAGATCGGTCAGAAAGTGAAGAAGATCTGTGACTGGTAGGTGATCTGGATTTGGTGGTTTTGAAGGAAGACGGTCCTGAAAAACCTGGACATTTACCAAAGGATTTAAACAGTGTGATTTCTATACTGAAAATCTAACGAATCCCAGAAAATCCGTGGAAATTAATAAGTTCCCTTACCAAAAAGTAGTATACTTCAAGTTTATTTTAGTAAGTATACTTAAGTAAAGTTCAAGTATATTTTTAAGTATACTTTATGTAGTAAGTATACAAATATCAGTGTACTAGTAGTATACTTGTAAGTGTACTATTTCAATACTCCTTGGGACTAAATTGGCCCACTTTCTAGTATATAAAAGTATACTTTTAAGTATACTTTAAGTATAACAGTAGTAAACTTTAAGTAAACAACTAGTTTACATCAAAATGTTTAGCTTGTACTGCAACTATACTAAAAGTGAACTTATAGGTATACTGATAGTCCTAAGTATAAGTCAAGAATACTTAAATGTAATTTTAAGTATATTTCTGAGAAGTACATAAAGCCCATTTCTGAGAAGTACATAAAAAGTAGACTAAAAGTATACTTTCCTATTTTTAGTTTAAAAACACCTTTTTTAACCGTCTGGCAGATCAGTCACATTTTAAGTGTTGATAAGGAGTGACTAGACTTTTTTTTTTGTTTTTTTTTTTCAAATACTTAAAGCTGCAGTCCGTAACTTTTTTTGGTTAAAAATGATCCGAAATCAATATTTGAGCAAGTACATAACCAGCCAGTGTTCAAAACTATCGCCTTACTTTTTTTTGGTTAAAAATGATCCGAAATCAATATTTGAGCAAGTACATAACCAGCTAGTGTTCGAAACTATCGCCTTACTTTAGCCCGATTCACAACGGTTAGCTTATAATAATATTTTCTAATTTGAGTGGTACGGGTAGGTTTTCGCGAGAAATTCGAGCATGCCAGAGTACAACCCACGCAAACTAGATCATTCCGCAAGTAACTGCAATTCCAGGTTTTCAAACAGAGATGGCGACAAAAGAGGCAAAACTTACGGACTGCAGCTTTAAAATGAATTTTGAGTAAATATTGTCATTAATGCTCATGAGTTGCAATCTGGGGGATGGACTGGGGTTAAAATTTGGCCCTGGACAAATCTGGGCCACAAATTCCCCCTTGAATGTTTCGATGGGTCATAGGGCCTTCAACTGGATTAAATAAATGAATACATTAAACAGGACAGAAACGAATACTGATAGATGTTACTGAATTCACGACAGATGCAACAAACTTAATGAATTGATTTTGAGCTAGACTGCTGGAAAGTTACTGCTAATAAATTCTGTCATCATTTCCTCACCCTAAAGTGATGTTACAAACGACTTTCTTCTGTTGAACACAAAAGAAGATTTTGTAGAATGTTACCGAACCATTTTGGTTACCCTTGATTTCTACTGTATAGACAAAAATTTATTGAATTTCTCAAATTATGTTCCACAGAAGAAAGAAATCCATACAGGTTTGGAATGACATGATGTTGAGTAAATGATGACAATTTTAATTTCTGGGTGAATCTTCCTTTAAGAACTTTATTATTTGTAAATAATAAACACCTAGTTTATATAAGACACTGATATTTATCTTTAATCAGACTAGTATTAGTAGGCTGGTGGTCACAGTAAGTAAACCCATGGTCCTCATTACCATGGTTATATGGTTTTAAAAATAAATAATAATTAATAATAAACTATAAAAAACAAAACAAAACATGAAGAAACGATAAAACGCCTATAAAATTAAAATATTCCCCAATATGTAATAACAGTAACATTTATAATAAATACATTTCTGCCAACACGTAGGCTATTTGTACAGTGTTAATAACTTCAAGTTAAATAACTATGGTGCTGAATTGACAAGCCTATTGGCGTTTTCCAATATACCTCAACTAGTGTCTATTAATATTTTTGATATTTTTATATCATCATAAGCCACCAGATGTCACCAAAGTCACCCAATTTTTAGGTTTTGTCTGTCTGCACTTACTGGAATTATTTTTTTTTACTGAAGTAAAATAAATATTAAATATAACATAAAAATAAGCATATTTGACATAAAAATATGGTACTTTTAGAGTTTAAAAAAATTGCATAAATTTATAGATTTTATTTTATCAAAGATGATATGACATTTATTTAAAAAAAAAAAACTAATTTGGGGTCACACCTGAAACCTTCGTGCCCAACTTTGTCCACAAAGGACGGATTTAGGGCTGTCATACAAAGGATGCTTGAGGGTTAAAAAAAACTCGTATTGATCAACCCATTGGTTCAGTTTCATACAAAATTTTCGATTTAGAGGTAGTTAAACATATGCTGGACTCTTGTATCATTCAAAAATGAATTTGTGAACAAGCGCAATGTACTACTTCCCTGTTTATTCGGTTTTCTGCTCTGTTCCACAAACACACAGCTTCCACACAGAAACATTCCCCTACCCTGAGAGCCAGGCAGAACGAGAGGAGACTCTGAATGGACTCCGAAGAAGAATCGAGGACATCAAATCAGTAAGTGCAGTATTAATCACAGTCAACACGTCTCTCGTTTTTTCACTTCCACTTTGTAAACATTTGAAACTCCCGATACATAGATCATGGGATGTTAATAACTGATGAGAAAAACAGAATAATGTTCAGTTAGCAGTTGGAACACAAATAGTGAGTCGGTCTGTGTTGTTCATGATTCTGTTTTATTTCCCAACAGTTGCTCTGTAAGTTGTTTCGACCGAATCGATAGAACAAACAGCTGTCAAGCGTATGGCTGTTAGTTTCTGTAAACAAACAGCCATACAGTCTCAGAGCTTCCTCACCGTGTGTCTGTGCTCCTCCGTGGCTGTAGGTCATGGGTGAGACGGAGCAGTACATGCAGCAGCTGCTGGTGCGAGCGCTGGCCCGTCTGCCCGAGTGGATTGTGCAGGTTCAGAAGTGTAAGGCCGTGCAGACAGTGCTGAATCTCTGCAGCCCATCCGTCACTGATAAGTGCCTGATCGCAGAAGCCTGGTGCCCCGTGAGCCAGCTGCCTGCCCTGCAGAGTGCCCTGAGAGAGGGAGGGGTGAGCGTCCACTGTCACTACACATCTGTCGCTGTCAGGTCAAGCTCATTAAAGGGATCGTTCACCCAATAATGAAAATTCTGTCATTAATTACTCACCCTCATGTCGTTCCAAACCCGTGAGACCTTCGTTCATCTTCAGAACACAAATTAAGATATTTTTGATGAAATCCGAGAGCTCTCTGACCCTCCATAGACAGCAAGGTAACTACCATGATCAACGAACGCACAGAAACGTAGCAAGGACATCGGTAGAATTATCCATGTGACATCAGGGGTTCAACCGTAAATTTACGAAGCTACGAGAATACTACTTTTTGTGTGCAAAGTAAACAAAAATAACATAATTTATTCAGCAATTCTTCTCCCCGAGTTACCGTCTTCCGCCATTTTGGAGAGTATCCACTGAACGTAATCGGTGTAGTGAGCGTTGTTTACGTTCAGCATACGCGTGCTTTCTACTGCACGTAAACCGAGACGTGTAAATGAGATGTTGCGTCTCTGTCTCTGTTTTCTTTAATTTGTGCATTGTTGGTAAATCACCTGCAGAAATTTCCATGCCCATCGGCGCTGTTTTGGAATTGGAATCATACTAATTTGCCCTGTTTAGTAAATCTGGCCCATGATCTCATACAGAGCAATGTCATATGATTCGACTCCCCAAATCATAATAATAAATGAATGATTCATGATAGTTGTTTAAAAATAAACAAAAAAAAATTCTAAAAACTTCACACATGCTGACTGAAGGAGAAAGCTACAGTAGAAACTCCATCCATCCATCCTTTCACACCCTGGTCAGATGTTGTGTGGCACACACACACACACACACACATACTCACTGCATTAGTGTCTCCAATTCACCTGCTGTATGCTGCATGTCTGGTTTGTGGGGAAACCAGACAGACGCCACACAGGAAAGCCTCTTATGTCTGAAACCTGTTTTTCTCTCTCAGAGGAAGAGCGGCAGTAGTGTGGACTCCTTCTACAACCGCTTGCCGGCCACCACGTCCCCCCCCACACTCTTCCCCACCAATGCCTTCACTGCAGGATTCCAGAACATAGTCGATGCCTATGGAGTGGCGTGCTACAGGGAGATGAACCCAGGTGACACACACTCACAACACACACCACTAGTTTAAAGGGGTCATCGGATGCCCATTTTCCACAAAGTGATATGATTCTTTAGCATGTTAATGAAAACTCTATAACATACTTTGGTTAAAATTTCTCAATGGAAATGTAAAACAACACCCTTTTTACCCTGTCAAAAACAGCTCTGTACACGGCGACCCATTTCGGTGCATGTCCCTTTAAATGCTAATGAGCTCTTTTGTAGATAAAGCTGGATCACGAATGATTCGGTCGGGACTAACAACTAGTGTTGGGTCGTTCTTGAACGATTCGTTCATTTTGAATGTGACTCGGGAAGAACGAGTCGTCTCGGGGAGTGATTCGTTCAGTCGCGCATGCACAACATCCTATAGGTTCTGTACTGGAATTAGTCAAGTAGTTCACGTTTCGAGTCTTCGGGTTTTCCGAGTCGTTTGTCATCACGTGACAGCCCCATAAGCTTAACCAATGTGACGTGACGTGACATGTGGCCAAGTATGGTGACCCATACTCGGAATTAGTGCTCTGCATTTATCCCATCCAAAGTGCACACACACAGCAGTGAACACACACACACCGTGAACACACACCCGGAGCAGTGGGCAGCCATTTATGCTGCGGCGCCCGGGGAGCAGTTGGGGGTTCGGTGCCTTGCTCAAGGGCACCTCAGTCGTGGTATTGAAGGTGGGAGAGAGCGCTGTATATTCACTCCCCCCACCTACAATCCCTGCTGGTACGAGACTCGAACCCGCAACCTTTAGGTTACGAGTCCGACTCTCTAACCATTAGGGCACGACTTCCCCAATGCAGTCTGAGCCGGAAAGAGAATTAATTAGTTCATCTCTCGAGTCTTCGGGTTTGAGTCGTTCGTTCATCACGTGACAGCCCCATAAGCTTAACCTATGCAGTCTGAGCCGGAAAGAGACTTAATAATAATAACCAACTCTTTATTACCTTTGTTACAACATTCAGTGTTATGAAAAAGAACCATAATGACATCAGAGTCGGTAAAATGATCCGAACTTCCCATCACTACTAACAACTCTGTGTTTATTACAGAGGTGGGAGGGTCTGTTTTGTACATCTGGGCATTGCAGAGATCACCTGTTCTGCATGCGTGCATTGCGTATATAGTCATTCGGAATGATTACCATAGTATAACCACAGTTTTACTACAAATATCATGGTGAAGCTAAATGGCTAGTATAGCAACACTATGTTAATGTGTGGTTACTTTAGTTTAACTTTTTTTTTGTATTAAAACCATGTTTTATTTTCATAAAGGTACATATGTAATTAAAACATAATGTAATTGAGTGCAGAAATAATCATGAGTAATCTTACCTGACGCTGATATTACAGTAGCCAGTCTTAACAGTTTACGTGATCTGGCTCTTGATTTTATTATTGTTTTTTTTGTTTTTTTCTTTGCCGGGAGGCAAACATATCAGAAATGTGTGCGGTAAGAGCGTCTGGTAGTTCACGTTGGCCAAAACACACGAGGAAACGCGTTGTGAAACAAATACCGTTGGCAATCACAGACATTCGCATTCAGACAGGATTAGTTTTCTCAGAGGATCACTGAGTTTGCTGAAAAACAGTAGGTAATTTGCTCTGCAATTATTACAGAGGTTGTGTGAGAAAAACACAGATGTGGCAGATTCAGATGGGATTATAATCGCAAAGTACGTCTGTGAAACACAATTTTTTCTAACGACCCCCAGTAAAACTAGTCCCATCCGAATAGGGCAATAGACGCATTTAGGTAGATCGGGGGTGCATTGCCTTCAAAAACAAAGGTAATACACTGCGTCATCAGCAGCTCAGATGTCAGGAGTAAATGACGACTGCAAAACATCCAACAACAAAACACCTCAATTAACAATCGTGGGAGGGGCCTATGCAGAACTACGTCACTCTGCCAAGAATCTGAGAATGGCTTGATTTCAGAAAGGGGTTATGATTTATGGGGATTCAAAAAAAAAAAAAAACACTGGGGGGATTTTTATCATTATTGGGTGGTTGGGTACACAAACTGCCAATACACATTTATGTTCAAACAACATGTAAAAGTGAATTTTGCATCTGATTACCCCTTTAAAATAAACTTAACTCCGTTCTCATGCACCTTTTACTGTCTGTTTTCACACGTCTGCAGCTGTCTACACCATCATCACGTTTCCCTTCCTGTTTGCCGTCATGTTCGGGGACGTTGGACACGGTCTTCTGATGACGCTGCTGGCTCTCTGGATGGTTCTGGAGGAGAAGGATTCAAAACTGAGGAAAAACACTAATGAAGTAAAAAACATAACACATGCACACATTTTCTTTTTTTTCCCAACACTCTAACAACTTACGTTTTCGATACTGGAATTTTTTACTTTGATACAACACCTTATATAATAAAAATATTTGATAACAGTGGAAAAAATGTCACAACATTAAGGGCGTAAAAAATTTAAACGGTGTACAAGTTAAGAGAATATTGCTCTGAGGAGGATTATATGATAATAATAATAATAATGATAATGTTCTTCATACTTTTCTTATTTTAGGAAGAAGAACATATTGTAATACTGATACTTGTAACTTCACTATCAGTTTCATAAGTCTATTAATTATTTTACTTAACACTGCAGCAGTAAAGTTATAATACTTATGACTTAATTTCTTCACTTGCAAGAGTTAAACCCTCAAGCGGAAAACTGCTAAGAGACCTATAGGTCAGGGGTGTCCAGTCCTGCTCCTGGAGGGTCACTTTCCTGCTGAGTTTAGCTCTAGTCCTAATTAAACTCACCTGAACCAGCTAATCAAGTCTGTGGATCTCTAGGGCTGTGTTACACTTCACATTTAGACACACACTCGCATACTTCCCTAAGCACTTCCCCTCGGGAAAATCCCTGCCATCATTTTGAAGTGTGTTACACTTTGTGAAGTGGATAAGGGAAGTTTATATGGACAGACCCTCCACCCCTCAATTTTCATACTTTTTATGTACATTTCAGGCAGCTCCACACACCACAATGCAACACGATTGTAACGTCACCGTAGATCACGTTTAATTTACCTCCACCCCAAACGACTCCTATATCAATTATTCAATTATAAAATGAGCATTTTTCACATGCTCCTGTGTTTATGTTCAGTTATTTCACTTAAATGGCAATGAAAAGAACCTATTCACTGCTATTAAAGTCAAATTACTGAACCTACACATTAGGAGCCTGATAAAAATGCTAATTTTAGAAGAAAATTTCAAACGGCATTTAGAGGCTTTTGCATCTGAACTCTTCATATGTACCTTCATATATACCTATACATAAATAACATATACCTATATACATAAAGAGTGGTGCATCAAACAAATTTGTAAGGGAAAAAATGCTAATAAACTCCATAGCGGATTCCAAGTGATCAAGGGCTTGAGGGTCGGTCACACTACACTTGTCTTTCCATTGACTTCCATTTGGAGCAGAAACGCAAACTCATGTATAGAGCTTTCACATTCCGCTGCATTCCGAAGTTCAAGTTTGGTGAACTCTGACCCACGAGTATGTATCACGTGAAGCCATGTGATCAATAGAAGATTGATTAATCACAGCATGAATTAAAAGAACATACATTTACATTACATTTACATTTAGTCATTTAGCAGACGCTTTTATCCAAAGCGACTTACAAATGAGGACAGATGGAATAGGATCAAGCAGACAAGTAGTAGGATGATTGGAAAGGATGAGTTTAGAGACGTCTGCCTCAGAGAGTGGAGAGAAGGATGAAAACGAGTGTATGTTTGCTGGTAAGATGTGTTTAACAGTTTGTGGTTTGGCAAACTGTGCACTGAGGTTTGTAATTTTATGAATGTAGAATGTGGCAAAGTCGTCAGCTGTTAGAGTTGATGAAGGGGGGGGGGACAAAGGAGGGAGGAAAATATTTTAAAGAGCATGCGAGAGTTATGAGAATTGTTAATTTTGTTGTGATAGTATGTCCTTTTAGCAGTGGAGACATTAGCAGAGAATGAAGAGAGGAGTGATCGATATACATTAAGGTCAGTAGGATTTTGTGATTTGCCACCATACTCTTTCTGCAGCTTTGATCTAGATCTTTATCATATCCTCGGTTCCCTGAGAGCGGGAACGAGACATCGCGAAGGTCGCCGTGTTCGCTGCTTGACCATCTAAGCGGTGTTCAGTATCAGATTCTGATGTAATTGTCGCGTGCACCGCATTTTATACTGCCTCTCAAGCTTGTCAGTATTTGCATGTGATTTGCATACTTCGTGACAATTGGCCAGTTAATTGGACTGGCGTGAGCCAATGAGACTTCAGGAAAGGTTGGAAGGGAAGGAGTTCCCTTTTATTCCCAACATACATTTAAAACTGCAGCGCCACAGGAAAGTGGAGTAGATTGTGTGTTTTTACATTTGAAGTTAGTGAGGAAAGGGCATAAAAACGGAAGTGGAACGCAGCCCAGAAACTTCCAAGCAGGTGTGCTTATTTGTTTGTAACAACAGATTTGCTTTATATTATAAATAATAATCATCCACAAAAATCTTGGATATTATGCAAACATGAAAACACCAGATGCTCAAGCAGAGATGGAGACAATTCTAGTTTTTACAGTATTTTTCTGCATGTACTGATTTCTTGGGGTCTCTTGTGGGTCAGATCTGGCAGATGATGTTTGGAGGCCGATATCTCATTTTGTTAATGGGGCTGTTTTCTATCTATACCGGAGCCATTTACAATGAGTGTTTCAGCCGGGGCCTCAACACCTTCTCCTCAGGATGGCACATCCGGCCCAATGCAGAATACTACAATTGGACGTATGACCACACACACACGCATCTATCCATCATAACGCCAAAGATATTGCATATGAAGTTCTGAAAGTCTGTCTGTCTCTGTGTGTAGAGAGGAGACTTTCAAAAGCAATCAGTATCTGTCGCTGGACCCCAATGTCACAGGCGTTTTCACTGGTCCTTATCCTTTTGGCGTTGATCCAGTAAGTCAGCCAAATTACTGTGGAAATGACATTGCAGTACCCTTTTCTGTTATTTGTGTTTATAGTTTGATTTAAGAGTAATATATCTCCATCACTGTGTTGGTATAAGGAATCCTGAACAATAACTAATTCTTTATCTAC